CAATGTTGTTTGGGCTTTGGGTCGCAAAAAGCAACCGAGTGTCATGCCATAAAATGGATAAGGGCAGAGGGGGAAAAAAATGAAATTGATTTTATCTCCATTTAATGTTAGCAAAGTAAAACCTTCAAGCCATATTCAACTCCTGTTGACTTCATTTTGACATAGTTGGCTGGGGAAAAAAAATATAAAATGGGATGTTATACTGAAATCTGTCTAGACTACAGCCTAAGGATTTCTCTCATCCAAATAGCAACCAGGTCTAATCCTTCTTAGCTCCCCCCCATCCCCAAGATTAGCCAGGTTTAGATGTGTTCTGACCTAGGCTTCCTTAGAAAGTATACAGCACAATCTTAGTCCCGGCAAACCTCTTTAATTCATACGGCTGTGAATTATTGTCATTCCCAGTTTGAAAGGCTTCTCAAACAGTCTTTCAAGGGAGTGTTTACAAACACTCACCTTATCTCCCTGGGAATGCTGCCAGAGAACACATGCAGGGCAAGGCGAAACTTAGCACAGAGTCAAACAGAACTTTTCCAAAGCTTTTACCGACCAGATGAACTAATTGCTTCCTGCAAAAGCATGTCCCGTTCGCTTTCTCTTTATGTCTTACGGGAGGGGCCAATCATCTCCAAGCTTTACTCCCAAATCGACTCTGTTTTCTTAATTGTTCCTGTCTTCTGGCAGCTCTGTGCATGCACACACTGGGAACAGGCTCACACTGTTCTTCTGCCTCGCTGATGTCAGACTCTAGAGACTCTGGAGGCAGCAAAGAACTACCAGATGGCCTTGGCTCCCTCTCTGCCTCTGACTCAGAGCCCTCGTCTGAGCTTTCCCCAGACTCCAGGACTGGCCCACGTTCCTCCCCAACCTCCTCATTGTCCGAATTGCTGCCAGCTCTGCTGGCCGCTGGTGGGCCACAACAAGATGAGTGTTGCATCCTTACTGGGCATTTAGCTATAAATATGATTAATTCCATGTGTACACAATCATTTTTGCATTCTGTCTCCTTAAAAAATACAACCAAGAAGAAACTTTTTTCTTATTGGAGTCAGACAGTGAGGAGGCTGGGGAGGAACATGGGCCAGTCCTGGAGTCTGGGGAAGGCTCGGACGAGGGCTCTGCACTTACCTGCATCCAAAACGGGCCATGTGGGGACTCATGGGAGGGGCAGGGCAGGGTGGACAAGGCCAGTCAGGAGTGGGATTTGGGGATTCTCTGAACTGCACAGAATCTTAGCTAGAGGTTCTCCCGAACCCCTGCGAACTCCCAGTAGCCCACCCCTGTGTAGAACTACACATAAGTATGCATAGCTGATCTTTCCCCCTTGATGGAAATCTCAACAAATCTCAGTAAAAGAACCTCCAGCAACCATGTAGGGGGCACTTAACTAGCTCATTGTTTAATGGTTGAAGATAAGCAGGGAATTAAAAGAGGAACAGTTCATAGAGTACTTTACCCAACGTGTACATGATTATATATATATTTCCAAGCTGTTCTACAGCCTCTAGTGCACCCGTAATATCCTCTACCGTTTCTTTTACATTATTGGCTTCATGTAGATCGCCCTCATTAGAAATGAGCTTATTCATCTCTCTTATACCATAACCTTTTGGAGCACTGGATTTCAAGGGATGAATATTTAATACATTTTGGGCTTTAGACTTCGTGCGGCTCAGCTGGGATCGTCAGAGGCTTTTCAAAGCATTTTTTTTTTTTGCAACCTCTTGGCCGAAGAGGTGGTTAAAAAAATGCTTTGAAAAGTCTCTGACGATCCCAGCTGAATTGCCTGATCAGCAGAGAGGCTTTTCAAAGCATTTTTTAAAAAGCCTCTCTGACGATTCCAGCTGAGTTGCCTGATCGGCAGAGGCTTTTCAAAGCATTAGAAAAAATGCTTTGAAAATTTTTTTTTTAAAAAAAGGTGGCCACGCCCACCCAGTCACATTACCCCACCACCACCAAGCCACGCCCACAGAACCGGTAGTAACAAATTTTACATTTCACCCCTGACCAAACCCACAAAACTTGCACCAAAAGGCAAGGCGAGAAACATTTTTTTTGATAAAAAGAGAAACTAGGGGAGACATGATAGCCATCTTCCAATCTCTCAGGGGCTGCCCCAAAGAAGAGGGAGTCAAGCTATTCTCCAAAGCACCTGAAGGCAGGACAAGAAGCAATGGGTGGAAACTAACCAAGGAGAGAAGTAACCTAAAACTAAGGAGAAATTTCCTAACCGTGAGAGCAATCAATGAATGGAACAACTTCATGGGTGCTCCATCACTGAAGGCTTTGAAGAAGAGATTGGACAACCATTTGTCCAGAATGATACAGGCTCTCCTGCTCATCTTCCTTCATTGGACATTGATGACATTAGGGAATTGATGTCACTAGTAGAGTGTAGGGAAGAGAGAATAGAATGGAGTCTCTGCCACACTTCTTGGCTCTAGCGAAGGCACATTAGCAGCTTACATTGGTACATTTCTCAATCTTCTATATACTGTATATAAAAGCCAAATACCACTCACTCATCACAAAATCTCCAGAACGGTAAAGCCTACAAACTTGAAATTTGGCATGTATGTTCCTCTTGGCTTCTAGGTGCTCGCTAAGAAACAATTTTTTGAAATGACCATCGGATCATTAGTATTCCATATACAGTATTATATTAATACACTCTGATGCTAAGGAGTTAGACGTTCCACTCCCCCTCCCTACCTGAAAAGAACTCTGTCCCAACTGCCAGTTGCCTTATGTTAACATGCTCTGATGCTACCCCTTTGCAAAACCGGGCATGGGCGTGGCCAACATGTGACTCATCTGGCCTGCGGGCTAGGACATTCTACTCCCCCTCCCCCTCTGTTCCAACTGTCAGTTGCCTTATATTAACACACTCTGATGCTACGGAGTTACACATTCTACATTAAGTTTCGGGCTTTAAGTGTCAATTTATTACGCCCGATCACATAGTTTCGTAGCAAAGCACGGGGGTCCAGTTAGTTACTTATAAGGGAGGCTTGGATGAATTTGTCTAACTAACCCCCTTTGAACAGATCTCAGTGTTTCCAGTTTCTGTTACCAGCAAGAAGGGCAAACCAAATTAGAAGATGGTTGCCCCAGCTCCAGAGATTGGGATGGTACATCTATAAATGCAAAATAATGTTGGGTTTTAAGTCGTAAAATAGATAAACTTGTGATGATGCTTCAGAGCCGAAGAAGGAGCAGACTGAGGGAAGCATCTTCCCACAAATCCTCTGGGGCTGATCCATTATCGATGCTCCTTGAAAAGAAGGAAAGGAATTCTGAGGAAGGGAGGGAGGAAGTGAAGGGTGGATGGATGGATGGATGGATGGATGGATGGATGGATGGAAGGAAGGAAGGAAGGAAGGAAGGAAGGAAGGAAGGAAGGAAGGAGACAGAAAATAGGAGAAAGGAAAAAAAATCTTCCTAATTTGGGGGCTAATTTATAAGGAAAAGCAGAGAACCAGCTTTTTATATTTAAAACCAGAATGGTACAGATGATTGCTGTGCAGTTACTAGAATTTCTGGGTCAACTCAGAACCAGAAAGAAGTTCAAATTCTGCATTTATGCATAGCTGACTCCTGTGTTCAGAAAATTACATAAACATTCAGACTCATAAGCTTTTTCGGTTTCCAAGAAAACCAAAGAAAACAACATTTATTTAAATGTTTTTATCCTTTATCAGGAGGCAAACAGTGAACTGCCCCCAAGTTTAAAACTGTTCCTCACTTTCTCATTTAGGGAAGTGACATTTATGGTTCCACTGATGACAAAAAATTGTTTTTTTCTCCTCTAGGAGAAAAATATGCATTTCCCCCTCATTCTGGCCTTTTCATTTCATTTCATTCCTGGCTTGCTCTGGTAACGCATTAATTTTATCTTCAAAATAATGTGAGGACAAAAAAGACCGAGGACGTTTTTTAGAATCAGAGGAGCATTGGAGTATAATTTTTGTTTTGTTTTCTACAATCTGCGGCTACAGCAAAATACCTACTATCGACTTTAGGAGTTGTAAAAAGCTGCTGGGCTATTTCTACCATTATTTTAAGGCCCTTAATTGGTTCTCGATCTACATTTCTCTCCTTTCAGTTCGCTCAGACGCCACGTTCGATGGGATGGGATTGGACACAATTGAGTTCCTATTGGAGATGCCACAGAACGCAACGCAGAAAGGACAAAAGGGCAGGAGAAAATCAACACCTGGAGTCCAGATGTTTCTCTCCAAAATCTCAGAAGCAAACAGCTGTGTCAGTAGGAAAAGAACAAACAGAAGAAATGACTGCCAGTTTACTCAATGCTTCCTACGCTTATCACAGTGTCCAAAGCCAAGTTAAATCCAGCCTTAATCAGGAATTCCCTGGATAATTTTTTTTCTTTTACAGGCTGTTGGAAAGTATTTGTTATTCCTTTGTGCTAATCTGTTTGTAAGATATAGTTTAGAAGACTTTATATATCTATATCTATATCTATATCTATATCTATATCTATATCTATATCTATCATCTATATATCTATATCTATATCTATATCTATATCTATATCTATATCTATATCTATCTATCTATCTATCTATCTATTTATCTATCTATCTATCTATATTATATGTTTTCTGAGGTTTTCGCGGGTGTTTGTATGTAGGTCTTTGGTTACTTTGGCAACTCTGGCAGTTAAAAGGAAGAAACAGCTGCGATCACACACATTGCTCCTAGAAGCACGAAGCCGAAGACACCAGCCTGAAGATGATGGATGAGACTTCGTCGAAACGTTGCCAAGAAACCTCCAATTTTACGAGGGAGAAAACCCGTATAACCAAAGACCTACATATATTATATATTATATTACATATATATATGGACATTTTGACCAGTGAAAAAACTCAACAGAGGCTTAATGAACTGTGGCTAAATAGCTTAGGAAAAAAAGGGCACAGAAAAAAAAAATCAAAACTGGTTCAAATCTCACTCAGTACAGCAGATTCGCCTACCTAGATCTGCATCTGTGCTTTTCTTCATATCTTTTTGGAGCTTCTTCGTTTGATCTTCCAGCCTAAAAATAGAAAAAATAGTTTTGTTTTAAAATGCATATAATTAAATCTCTGTCTCTCTCTCTCTCTCAGTGCAAAACAAACTGCAAATGACAAGAAAGGAGGAACGGGAGGAAAAGTGAGAAGACGGTCGCTAGATTTTGGTTTGTGAGATGTAGGAGCCAACTGAGACGACCAGAAGAGGACAAACGGAATCTATATATTCCATGGCCAACAAGATTCAGATTAGCAGAGTTGGAAGGGATCTTATAGGTCATCTAGTCCAACCCCTTGCCCAAGCAGGAGACCTTACACCGTTTCTGACAGATGGCAGTCCAGTCTCTTCTTGAAAGCCTCCAGTGATGAAGCTCCTACAACTTCTGAAGGCAACTTCTGCTCCACTGGTTGATTGTTCTCACTGTCAGGAAATTTCTCCTTATTTCCAGGTTGAATCTCTCCTTGGTCAGTTTCCATCCATTGTTCCTTGTCTGGCCTTCAGGTGCTTTGGAAAATAGCTTGACCCCCTTCCTCCTCTCTGTGGCAGCCCCTCAAATATTGGAAGATGCTATCATGTCTCCCCTGGTCCTTCTCTTCACTAGACTAGCCATGCCCAGTTCCTGCAACCGTTCATCATATGCTGTAGCCTCCAGTCTCCTAATCATCTTGGTTGCTCTTTTCTGCACTCTTTCTAGAGTCTCAACATCTTGAGGTGATCAAAACTGGATGCAGTACTCTAGGTGTGGTCTTACTAAGGCTTTATAGAGTGGTATTAGTACCTCCCTTGATCTTGATAGTATCCCTCTGTTAATGCAATTTAGGGTTGCATTGGCTTTTTTGGCTGCCGTTGCACACTGTCGGCTAATATTTAATGGCTCATATTTAATATTAAAACAAGGCTGGGTGCTGGAAGGAAACACTTCCTTGCCAAAGCTGCAGAAGATGATGCTTGGGTTCGCCTAGCTGATATTGCAGTCGACACCACACTCAATATCAAACAGAATATAGCTGGAAGGACCTTGGAGGTCTTCTAGTCCAACCCCCGGCTCAAACAGGAGACCCTATACCGTTTCAGACAGGTGGCTGTCCAGTTTTTTCTTAAACATCTCCAGTGATGAAGCACCAAGGGTGAAATGCTCCCGGTTTGGACCGGATCGCCCGATCCGGTAGCGATGGAGGCGGGTGGTTCGGAGAACCGGTAGCAAAAATCCCTGCCCCCCCCCATTGCCCAGCTGAGCCGCGCAATCATCTCAGGGTATTTTTTTTTATTTTTAAAAGCATTTTTTCTACAACCTCTTTGGCCGAAAAAATGCTTTTAAAAGTAAAAAAAAAAAAAGCCTCTGATGATCACGCGGCTCAGCTGGGATCGTCAGAGGCTTAAAAAAAAAAAAGCATCTGCTGATCAGGCAAGTCAGCTGGGATCGTCAGAGGCTTTAAAAAAAAAGAAAGCCTCTGCCGATCAGGCAAGTCAGCTGGGATCGTCAGAGACTTTAAAAGCATTTTTTAAACAATGGTTTTAACAGTAAAAAAAAAAAAAGTTGGCCACGCCCCCCACCAAGCCACGCCCACAGAACCGGTAGTAACAGATTTTACATTTCACCACTGTGAAGCACCCACAGCTTCTGAAGGCAAGCCGCTGGTTAACATTGCCCTCACTGTTAGGAAATTTCTCAATTCCAGGTTACTTCTTTCGTTGGTTACTTTCCATTCATTCTTTCTTGTCTTGCCTTCTGGTGCTTTGGAAAATAAGTTGAGCCCCTCTTCTTTGTGGCATCCCCACAAATACTGGAATATTGCTATCATGTCATCGCTGGTCCATCTTTTCTCTAGACTGGCCATACCCAATTCCTGCAACTGTTCTTCATAAATTTTTGTCTCCAGGCCTTTAATCGTCTTGGTTGCTCTTTGCACTTTTTCCCATGATTATCTATCCTAGACCAAAACGATTTGGCGAATAAAATCCGGAAATGTCGACAAAATCAATTTGAGCATGCTAACAAGCCGGGCTGGTGGCTGTCATATAGATTAAGAGAAGAGGCAGAATCTAGAAAGATTGAATTTTTACAGGACTCTATGGGAAACTTGGTAGGTACTACAGAGCAAAAAGCAAATTTTTTATACCTCCTTATATAGCCAAGAAATCTATCAGGAAGATAAACTCAAGAGTTATCTCCAGAATCTACAATTGGAGTTGATTCCGGATCACTGTAAAGAAATTTTAAATGCAGAAATTACAGTTGGGGAAATAGCAGTAGCTATCAAGAAACAAGCCAATGGCAAAACTCCAGGACCGGATGGGATTCCTAGTGAATTTTATAAAGGAGTCTTTGACTCACTTAGTTTGCATATTAAAGATCTATTTAATGAGGTTTTACTATACTCTAAAATACCCCGGAATCTACATGGACGGAAGCCTACATTTCCCTAATCCCGAAACCTGAAACAGATAAAACTCTGATCCAGAACTATATAGACCAATCTCGCTCCTGAATGTGGATTATAATACTGTGTGTGACCAGCCATACGCTAAATAAATAAATCCATGATTTGGAAGAATTGTTGGAGATCATCGGATATGGAAGTTTTTAGTAAACAAGAATTCAGCTTTTTCTAACTTTTCCATCCATTTGTCATGGAGGACTCAACGACTACATGCCCTTAGCCCAGGAAGACCAATACACTTGGACCAAAATTGTTCCTTCTCTGAAAAGGTATATGCACAGATGGTGACTGTTGACAGTATAGTTGTATCCTTTGTTCCTTTTTAACATGAATTGCACATGCAATGAACTGCAGTAAAAAAAAAAAAAAAAAAAACAGGCGGTCCTTTGATCTCCCTATGGATACCCTGCTTCTGCAGATTTATTTTGTACATGCTTTGCAAAGAATCATACAGAACTCCCAAAGCAACTATCATACTTAATGTGACAGAAGAGGGAACATCCTGCATACCTGGGGAGTCATTATGTTAATGTAAATCAGTTCAGGCTTTTTTTCTTGGCCCTGCTTTCTTTAACTTGCTTCTTTGCTTTTTTTTTCATTTACAGTATTTCTGCACCTCCACAATTACAGGTCTTGAGGTGGCTTACAAATCTATGAATAATGGAAAACCCATAAGCATCATACTAATTCTGAACATATCAGTAAAACGCAAAGCAGCTCCACTGTCAACTGTAGAAAGCAAAGTATAGATGCTGGTTTCCAAAGGTTGGTTGGAAAAACCGTATTTTCAACACATTTTGACATGAGTCTAATGTGGGGAAGTTTCTCTCTCTCTCTCTCTCTCTCTCTCTCTCTCTCTCTCTCTCTCTCCATCTGTCTATCATCTATCCATCCATTATCTAACATCTCTCTCTATCATCCTATCTCTATCTATCTATCTATCTATCTATCTATCTATCTATCTATCTATCT